CTTGAGGAACGGTTGTTCCAGCCAGTATAGCTCAGTTGCTTTATCACGATAAGCAAGCCCGACCACTACGTCAAGGTAATAACGGTCGGGTTTTTTTTTCTATGAACACAGTGGTCTTGAGTGCTGTTAGAAGTATGAGGGCGGTTATCACTTCCCGGTCGCCCGCACCGTGGAAGGGTTTTTCTGGAGGTACCTGAAAAGGAAATTGGGTTGGTGTCTGACGAAATCTCAGCACGGATTCGAAAATCTCGTTTGGCCTTTGCCAATTTACATCACCTATGGCGAAGGCGAGATATCCGTCTATCAATTAAGGGACGAGTATACTGCGCAACAGTTCGTTCCGTTCTACTATACGGCTGCGAAACATGGCCTTTAAAAGTAGAAGATACTCGTAAGTTACTAGTATTTGACCATAGATGCCTTAGAAATGCTGATCGCATCTGCTGGGATAATCGGGTAAGTAATAGTAAGGTTAGACGTAGGGTTTATTATTTATTTATTTATTTTAACACATAGATATTGATACAAGGAGGCACCGAATACATATGCGCCACACAAATCTCAATTGATTTGTGTGAGGGCTGTGATACTGCCCGGGTGCCCAAACCGAAGCAGGTATTAGGGAATGATGGTAAGTCAGTTGATGAGGTTATGAATCTTCATCGACTGAGATGGTTGGGCCACGTGTTGCGTATGTCTGAACACTGATTACCACGATGCGCAATGCTAACCGGTGTCGGTGACGGTTGGAAGAAAGTTAGGGGCGGCAAAACTAAAACGTGACATCAGTGCTTGAAGTCACTAACTTCTGGTTTGAGCCATGTTGGTAGATGCAGACTGCCTGGTTAGGGTCCGCGTGACTATCGTAACCAACAGTTGAAGACTCTTGGTGATATGGCTCAGAATCGATCACAACGGCGTCGGTGTATACACTCTCTGTCTTCCTTCAAACTAAGAGATTAAAATCGCTTCATATCTTTCTTTCTACGAACTAATTCTTTCTTTCTGTACTATCTCCTTATATGCGCCACACGAATCTCAATTGATTTGTGTGAGGGCTGTGATACTGACCGGGTTCCCAAACTGAAGCAGGTGGTTTCCTTAGGGGGCCACACCCCGAGCCTTCGATCTAAACGTCTGACCCATAAGGTAGTGGAGCATCGTAAGGAGATGCAGTCCCATGGTAGCCGGTGACCAAAAATTGGTTCATACGCCATTTGTTCCCGCAGGATACTGGAGCCCATGCGCACCATTGGTTTGGGATCCGGTTAAAGCGCCGGACATTCGCTTTTCGTCCTCTCATTTTCGTAAACAACACCCCCGCCACGAGAAGGCAGTGAGTAGGACTTCCCTGGCAGAGGCTATATACGCATGGCCATGTGAGAGCATTTGGAGAGGGAGTGGACTCTCCCCACTCTCGACCTTACCAGGGCATTTGGGGGCCATCTCCTTATATGCAATCTTTCTTCTATATATTACCACCACTGAATTAACTACTTCTATGAATCTAGTGTCCATCTTGTTGTGCTAATGCGGTATGGCAACTTGGACCGATGCATATATGTGCCTGGTCCTACGTTGCAGCTGACTGACTGACTAATTTTTTTTCTAAACCAATTCAGATAAGACTCATGTAATAATAATTACACTATTTATTTACTTCAACACATAAACATTAGTACAAAGAGGCACCAAATACATATGCGTCACACTTAGTCATTTGATTTGTGTGACGGCTGGAATGCTACCCGGATGTTCAAACCGAAGCAGGTGGTTTACTTAGGTCACTCCCCGAGCCTATGACATAAAGTCCAGTCCACAAGGTAGTGGAGCAACGTTAGGAGATGCAGTCTCATGGTAGCCGGTGACCAACATACGTTCAATTTGTTCCCTCAGGACCCGGAAGCCCATGAGCACCATTTTTTGTAATCGGTATTTCCGAACTCCCCTACGTGGGTCCCCCATATCCACCAACCCAGTTAGTGCTCCGGACATTCGCTTTTCGTCCTCTTAGCTTCATAAACAACACCCCCGCCATGAGAAGGCAGTGAGTAGGCCCCTAAACGGACGAGGATGGGGACAGTCCGCTCTCCTCCTTGAAATGCTCACATATGACCACGCGTACACAGCCACTGACAGGGAAGTGATTAAGCTAAGAGAAGATTTATGCAATTTGGGATAGAAAAAAGGGAAAATAGTTTACCGTTTTGATTCAACTCCTGTTGTTGTATATGTTGCCTCAATAGGTGGCAAGGCGAATGCCTCAGATTCATTACCAATTAAAGTTGTGCTTTCTGTCATTGTAGTAACTCCTAGTCCAACTCTGGATGTTGTTGTGTCAGTTGGTAGACTAGTTGGAGCAACAAATCCAGCTGTCTCTGAGGTTATCGTATTTACTACTGTTGTTGCGGTTGCTGTTGTCATTAACTCTTTTACTGATGTTGATACTGTAGGAAAAGCATCTAATGGTTTACTGACAGTAGCAGCATTCGGTATTAGGTCTTCATTACTCGATGTTGGAATTGGAGTGGCAGTAATGTCATCATGATGTAAATCAAAACGACCTGTGACCATATGAGATTCAATTTCAGATGTTAAATTTTCTAATTGTTTCTGAGCTGATGGATCTTCAAATATACCATCAGTGAATAATGAATGAACAATTCGACCACCAAAATTCTCATCATCATCATCTGGTTCAGCTGATAATTGCGAAAAAAATAATAATGTTGTTCAGTGAATAAAATATGAAATGCAGCCGTGTTATTTGTAATTAATGAATGAATTTTATATGACCTGACGTTGTGAAGACAAGTCAAATTTTATGTTTAGTATTAAAACATAATCTTAATTACAACTTCAGTAAGCTTCTTTTCATCATATATTAAAACTCTATAGAAGCTGACGACACATGTTCTTCAACTCTCTCTATCTCTTATTCAAATTTAATAATACTGAGATAAAGCGAGGAAAAAATGGCTTAGTGTTGAATATACCCAGTACATGAGAAAGAATTTACATGTGGGCTTATTATTCCTAGGGCGGTGAAGTCCTCTAAGTTCATGGTTTAAGCGTTACTCTATTATAAAAACTTATTTTCCATACTTTCAGGTTTGATAAAATTTCAGTAAAAGTTGGAGCATTGATGAAATTTGATGTGAACAGGGAAACAATAAGCCCTGACAAACTACGAAAGCTATTTTTCGGGACGTTATTTCATTTTATTCAAAGCTTGTAAAACACTAACATTTATTTTTGTCCCTAATCTATTCAACAGAACATTAGCTTTCGTTCGATGTATAATTCACTGCCATACCTTTTTCTGTTCCGAAGCTATTGTAATTTAAACATATAATTTTGCACCCTATTTTCTACTCTAATTCCCAGCTTTGGACATAATTGTATTTTTCCTAATTATTGTACGTTGCGGTCGGGTTATTCACTTATTTATTCATGTACCTTTTTTTACACTTAATGAAATCAGAGGAAATCAGGAATAGATCGAGTAGTGTTCCAATTGTCTTGTCTTCTCTCATTCGTGTGCTTGCCCACCAATCAGATGACAGAATAGTTTTCTTCTCTCTACCCCATCTCAAACTCACGCGTACTAGCCTCAAGGTTAAGCCGATCAGCCTATCGCGTCAAAGTCTAGATCTAGATTAGGAAGAGTATCCTCGGCATAAAAAGTGGGTAGACAAACCAAAGGTCATAACAAAATTAAATAATAAAGGACTCTATCGTGATATGCATACGTAACAGCATTACAAGAATACTCTTAGAAGTTAAGGCACATTGGTTTATTGCTGGTCCATTTTCAAACTTTCGGACTACGCATTAATAGTAGTGAACATCCATGTTACCTGACATGACTCATACTACTTTGAAAACAGAGACTAGCTACTTAACAAATATCTCTTTTTCAAATGTCCAAGAAGGCACATTTAACATGTGTTTAAAAAAGTTCCACTACATAAGGCTTATTTCAGATTCGTCTACAAATAAAATACATCACAATCTTTGACTCCTAGTTAAATTAAAACAAATTATGAAGGCCAAGGTGCAGAATAAACGAAGGACTAGACATAAATACGCATTTTTCCCCAGTGAGAAGTCCCCTGACTACATACATAGTCCACACATAATATCCAGGATATCACACAAGTTTTTTTAAAAATAAAAGAAACAAACAGAACTTACCCAAAAAGTCATCATCAAATTCATTATCAACAATTCCAATATCATCATGCTGTGTGATTGAATCAATAGATTTAATTTGTTTTTCTGCGTCAGATAACCTGCCACCCCGTTTAACATCGATTAAAGTGGCATCCAAATCTTGATCAGGGTTTAACGTGAAATCAGCATCATGATGCAATGACAAATGATCACTTCCACGATAAATACTGTCACCAAATGTTTTGTCGCCATCACGAATCATTTCACGACTTGATACTTCATCGAATGCTGAATCTCCGAAATCATCATCTTGTCGTCCTAGATTAATCTCACCGAAATCTTCACGCATAGTTATATCTTCCGGACGACTTTGATTTATCGCTATAGTGTTCATATTTATCTCACTGTAAATGGATGTAAGATAATTATACTAAATATCACTTACTTGAGATCGGCTATAGTTGCTTCGAAATCGTGAATATTCTCTGGTAAAGTGATAGCTGCGATAGCAGCTTCTCGATTTGCTTCGTCTGGAAGGTCAACAACGCCTGGACGAAATGCCATCTTAATTTTAACGAACGCCTCATTGCAGTCAGCCAGTAGGTATTTAGCCTTACGAGAGTAGATTCTCACTACACCCAACAATAAATGTCCAGAAGTTCTTAATGCCATTTTTAACTTTGGCTCTAAAATTGCCTCAACGCTAGAACTGATATTCGTTTCAAAAACATGCGCCCTGGTAAGCTTTTTATCCCAATGAGCAGCTAGCCATATACGGGCCAAAGGACCTTTTTTGCTGAGTACAAAATGTGCATAGAACATTGTTAAGCTGAAAATAAAAAAATTAATACATATCGATAAATCAAGTTTTATCTATCCAAATGTAAATTATTTTAATAGTGCACAACTAAGAAATGTAAATTGGATAATAAAAAATAATACCACTCAATAACTGTACAATTCACAAACTAAGCAGTACGGAAAATGTATAAACTTCGATTTTAAAAAAGGTCAAAAGCACGACTTAATGAGCAAAAATGCGGATACTGATAACCTAAGTTCTGGGATAAATTGACACCGACTAAACTGTTCCGCTTCAGACTAGCACCACGCAGGAAAAACCAAAAGGTAAGAATAAAAGTCTGCACAGTAATAAAAAATCGACTGAAAAAGTTGAAAGAAATGAATTAAAAACATAGAACATTATGATGTTGACAAAAGAAAAAGGTTAATCACTCAGATCCCCTTCCTAATAGTATTGATAAAGACCAAATGGATAAACGCAAACATGACTGTAGCTCCTCTAGGGTTACTGACGTTACCGAGTCCGGGTAAAGGAGGAGGGTTTGTCATGGAGTCAGCAATCTCATCACGTGGATACCAACATTGCTAAGAAACGCAAACCAGAGTAAACAATTAAAACCATTTAAACTCGGCCTTCCAAGTTGAAGGATCTTCACTCAGAAGAATTATGACGCCTCATGGTGAAAACCGAGGTTCTTCGGAAGTCACGAGGACGAGCAACAATTAATATAGGTACATGGAATGTTTGGACAATGTAGGAGATCAGATGATCAATCAAATAGCTACGGAAATGAGGAGATACAACTTGGAGGTCCTCGGGATAAGTGAAACCTATTACACCCAAGCCATACAGAAAAGTTCAGATTCGGGAGAGATGCTGCTGTGCTCAGGTCAAAAAGAAAATGTTCCACACACTCAGGGAGTTGCTCTGATGCTGTCCGAAGAAGCATGTAAAACACTCATAGAATGGGAATATTATGGACCCAGTGTCATCAAACCATCCTTCAAAACAAAAAGAGGAATCACAATGAATGTTATCCGATGTTGTGCAGCCACCAACGATAGCAATGATGACGATAAAGATCAGTTTCACTAGAGGTTGCAATCAGTTGTAGAAAAGTACTTAGGAAGCAGCACTCATAGACCTTCCTATAGATGTCGCTCCACCAACGATCGAAGAAATCAGGATGACCATCAGACAAATCAAGAGTGGGAAAGCAGTAGGACCTGATAATATACCGATTGAAGCTCTGAAGTGAGACATAGAAGCAACTGCAAAGATGCTCCACATTATATTCAGGAAGATTTGGGAGGAAGAACAAGTGCAACAGACTGAAAAGAAGGATACCTCACCAAGATATCAAAGAAAGGAGATCTGAGCGAGTGCAAGAACTCAGCTGCAGAGGCATCAAACCACTATCGGTACCAGGAGAAGTTTTCAACAGTGTTGCTGAATAGGATGAAAGATTCAGTAGACATCCAGCTTCGAGATCAACATGTTAGATTTCGTAAAGATCGGTCGTGCACAGGCCGAATCGTGACACTACGGATCATCGTTGAACAATTAATGGAATGGAACTTGTCACTATACATCAACTTCGTTGACTATGAGAAAGCATTTTACAGTGTGGATAGACCCTTATGGAAAATTCTTTGGCGCTATGGTGTACCCGGGAAAACCGTCAACATCACACGAAATACACTGCATAAAAGACAGCTGACAAATACATCCCAAGTGAGGACCGGAGTCAGACAAGGCTGCTTACTCTTCACCTTTCTCTTTCTTCTGGTGGTTGAATGGATTATGAAGACCTTCAGATCTGAGGGAAAGCACGGAATACAATGGACAGCTTGAATATAGCTAAGCGACTTGGACTTCGTAGATGACCTCTCTTCTATTCCATACACACGAAAAAGTGAAAGTCAAAACAGTCAGTGTAAAACTAGTCTTTGTAGCAGTAGGCCACCACACACACAAATAATGATGAAGCAAGATCATAAAATACGACACGGATAGTACCAACCAAATTAAACATGAAGAAGCTCTGGAGAAGGTGGAAACTTTCACATGCCTGGGAAATATGATTGATAAACAAGGAAGATTTGATGCGAACTTGAAGGCAAGGGTTGGCAGTCCTACAGTTGAAGAACATATGAAACTCAAAACAACTGTTAATCAACATCAAAGTCAGAATCTCCAATATGAACATCAATTCAGTTCTACTATACAGAGTTGAAACTTGGAGAACTACAACCATCATTAAGAAGTACAAGTACTTATAAACAATCGTTTATACAAGATACTCGATGTCCGTTGGTCGGATACCATCAGTAACAACCTACTGTAGGAGAGAACAAACCAGCTTCCATCTGAAGAGGAAATTAGGGAAAAATGTTGAAGGTGGATAGGACATACATTGTGGAAATCATCAAATCGCATTACAAGACAAGCGCTAAGTTGAAGAAGAATACCAACGAGAACACTTCGTCGGAAATCGGAAGCAAACACCAAAAGGATGAATGGCAACTGAATAGGACCGCCCAGGACCGAGTTCGATGGAGAATGCTGGTGCGCCGCCTATGCTCCTTCACGGGGGGTAACAGGTTTAAGTAAGTAACATGTTTCCATACCAGCAAAGTGAGAGTTAATGGAATAAAATTTACGAAATCATATTGAAGCAGATAAGGAGTGAATTCATTTGCTTCGAGAATCCTAGTCATATTACCCAACTCTCCCAACGGCTGAACATGGTTACCCGGTGGACCTTAATCAAGTAATCTCTATTTGCCAAAACAGTACTCAATTGCTTTACTGACTGATATCCGGTAACAGCGGTGTGATTTTATTCCTGACATGTGTGTGTTTGGACGCAAAAACCATAATCCATTTGGTGTCATCAACTTGAAACACCGGTTTTGATGGACTAAACATATTTTGAAAATATAACCGTGTGTAATATACCGTTGACCGAACGGTAGAAAAAGCAGACAGGTAGTCAGTTTGTGATATGACGCCGTGCTATGAAGAACTGTCTAGGACAGTTCTGTCAAGCCATGACTTCCTACCGGTTGGGATTATTTAACTTGTACAACTCAGTTATCAGGTATAGGTCAAAGTAGAAACCAGTGGTGATCCTGATGTAGTTTTCTCTCTTACATTCCTCATAAAACTAAGGACTCTGAAGACTAAAAATTCTTTCCTGATTCAGTATTAAACCAAAATGTACATAATATAATACATTATTCTTGTTTACTGATTTATTTTTAACTGAACTTCCATCCTCTCCTTTGTCACTTAGTAACAAACCATTATTTGTGTGCCCCATACTTTTTTGATGTCCAATTATAGCAGGATTCGGATACGAAATAAGAACGTTTAACGGGCACGTTTTAACCTACAATCGACAAACGACAGTAGCACACGGTTTGTCATATTGTATAAACTGACGACGTCCACATTAACCAGCTTTCGTAGGAAAGTAACCAATTTACTCTAAAAATCGATTTGAGGACTATCCAATTGTTGTCTATTAAATAACACGACATCGGAGTGTATAAACAACAATGCGAGTCATTGTTACCATTGTTATAAGCGATATATTACGAAAGCTCGAGATGAATAATGCAAACCCAAGTTATCACATACACAAATGCAGAAGAAATCTGCGAGACAAGTCGGAGTTATTTAAGGCACTGTTCACCAAATCGGGAAGAGAACCGAAAGAAATGATGAAATCCTCCCCTTCATTTCTCATGGGGATTCAGGGGCGTCAGAACAATTAGACTGTCTGATTGGGATTTGCGTGATGACTACGGTCAGTGGTTGGAGACTTTGGAATGCATGGCTCGAAATTATTTGCAGTGGGGCAGACGTATTCATTCTTTATCTTTTCTAGACCTTAAAATTCAGCATAACCTCACACATACCTTTACACCCTAAATTTAGCCATACTTTTTGTCAGTTCTACCACATTCCGTTTAATTTTGATCTCATCATGCGGACCAGGTATGACAACTTTGGTCAACATACACCCGTATCAGGTTTTATGTGGGAGATGGCTGCTTGTTATTTTACTTATCCGGAGTCACGTTTGATCGAACATTCAAGATCAGCAAAATACTCATGTCAACACCCAAAACAATGAATATGACACTGTACAATTGTACTGTTAGCGACTTTTTAAGGTTTTAATGACTGAGCTAACTTTATAGCAGTTTATTAACACTAAACCACACTACATTAAGCCAATGTTACTTGAGGACAGGAAGAAATTTGCCTTCAATGGCGTTATTAATTTAAAGATTTGTTCCCGAGGTCAGTTGTCACTTTCTTGTATTGCTAAATTTAGACAACTTGGTTGAGGTTTATGAAACTTTGATAACCAATGGTTGGAGACGATTAAAGGCTCAAAATCAGTCGCAATGGTGTGGGTGCATTTTATCTTTGCCGAATTTAAGTATCGAGTTTCAAAAATACTTAACGCATCTTTGTTATTCCACAAACATATCCTTTCCCGACCCATATATTACACACCTAGTCTTATATCATTGCTGTTACTACTCTGTTTGGTCATGAAAGTTTCATCTAGATGTGGTAACTTGATCCGGAACATAAAAAGGTACTTGAGGACTTATAGTAGAAATAATGTATCAATGATGATATTCGATGCAATCCATTAGCCACTCGGTCAGTTCATCAATACAATTTTCTACTTTAAATGTCGTTACTACTTTATATGGTCGTCCACAAATCTGAGTCACAGTTAACAAAGGCAATAGTTACTTGAGTGTTGACATGCTTGCTACATAGAGTAACAAACGTATATCAACCGGAATCGTCTCGTGAAAACTATAAATTAATACCACTCCATCAGAAAGCATTGTCAGAGCTCGCAAGCTACCATGTAGATTTTTGATGATGACTTATAATGAGTATCCTGACATTGAAAACAAGAAACGGAAGTTCAAAATATGATACTGAGATCTTTAAAAGGGAATGAAAAGTACTGAACACTTGGTAAGCATTACTACTTGCACCCGATTATGAACCCCAACCAAATTACACAAAAATATGTTTGTAAATATAAAGCTCTTATAAACAAATGGAAAGTTTGATAAAGTAGTTTTACTAGACTCACGGGGATGAAATATAGTTTCAACCAGAATATCTTCAGTTAATCTACCAAACTGGGTACAGATAGCATAAAATACAAACACACTCTGTCTGCCGCCACGCTCATAAAATTGGAAAGTAACAAACTTAAAGAAAGCTTGAGTCCACTCAGAATCTACTGTTGAAGTAACAGTGTATGACCTAATATCTCTAGTCAATGAACGGAAATGTTCATATTTTGAAGCCATACATATGGTTAAATTCTTTAGAAGAATGAAGAAATAGGATAAAGTTTATAAGAGTAGTCAATTGAAGATTCTTATAGGATTAAAGAATAATGGTGTAGATGGAATATATATCCTACCTAACTTCTAATATGTGCTGTCAAGTAATCACTTGAAATCGACGTAAGAATAAAATGTGAAATATGAATGTGGTTCGGATGTGTAGATTTCAAAAGCATCAGTGATATTGTACTTGTTGTGATTATCCTTGCTCTTGTGTATTTGTTGCACCAAAACATTCGTGGTCCACTTCAACTTGAAGTATTTCGGTCAAGATTTAAAAATCTTACTAAAATTTGTCTTGTGGTATCTTTTTTTTCATTGATTGACACTTGTTTTCATATTGTGATCGTATTTTGTTTTAAACCTTCTTAATCAGATTACAATGGTTGGTTGTACTTATAAATGTGGACAGCCTGTGGAGGAAGGAATGCAATGCGATGAGTGTAAAATGTGGCTCCATAAGATATGTACCCGTTTAAGTCCCACCGCATACAAAAGATGCTCGAAACCTAATTCGCATTGACTTTGCATGTTTCGCTGTACAAATAAAACGTTACTGATCCAGGAGGCTATGAGCCTATTAGCTTTGGCCTGTAAGAAGAAAAACGGTGGTTGCACTGGTACTGATGGCGAAGATTGCGTCAGTATAGTATGTGCTGTCACGGCACCTGCCACACACTCAATCGCACAACAAGCAATTGAGCCTTCTACCCCGAAACAATTAATCAGCGGTACGCCATTAGACATTGGTGGTCAAGTTTCTATAGCAGCGACTGACGATCGTGACAAAACCACCACCGTCCCGAGTTGTTTCAATATAGATATTGTGACTGGTGAGAAATGGATGACGTGGAAACCTAGAAAAGTAGGAAAGATAGACAAAACTACTCCGCCTAAGTTCCAAAGTAAGATCTCATCAAATATTGTTGCGAGTCATTCACTCGACTACGATGACTCTGTTACAAAGAAAACTAACGGTAAGATGTCAGCAGTGAATATGCAGGATTTGATATCACGGTCAAAAGCCGTAAGCACAATTTTCAAAGACGTTAAATCCCTTCCTAGTTTGGTTATTTGAAATCTAGATGAGTCGAAAGGCAGTGACATTGCTGAAAGACATGCACACGATCTTCAGTTAGTGGAATCCTTAATCAGAAACGTACTGCCTGAAGAGGTTTCATTGGTACGTATCATGAAGTTAATACGGTTCGGTAAATGGGTTGGAGGCGAGACCCATCAAGAAGGATCTTGAGGTTGGTGCTCGGGAATTTTGAGGAAAGAGACATAATATTGAATAACATAGGCAAAACTCGTGATTCAAATATTCGTATTCGAGCAGATTGACCGCTTGAGGATCGAATCAAGTGGAAGAATGCTCTTACGGAATTAAGAATTCGGAAGCTAAATGGCGGAACAAACCTTACAAATAAGGGTTTTCGGGTAGTTAGGTCTTGGAAGCCAATGGTTCCGTGACCTGTATGGGTAGAACAAATGATTCCCAAAGCACCTTAAAATTATGCTACACGAACGTCCTTAGTCTTCGAAGTAAAATGTCCGAGCTAATTTTCATGGTGGATGAATTAAGGCCAAATATAATTGTCGTCACAGAAACTTGGTTCACCGTAGATATAGAATGTTCTCCCATCATTGCAAGTTATATCTGTATTAGAAGTGATAAAGCTTTAAGTCGCCAGGGAGGAGGCACAATATTATATGTTAAGGATCATTCTCGTATACGATCAATAATATCGGAGGCGTGTGCTAGTGGTGTATGCGAGGTAGCATGTTGCATAATTAAGTCCAGAAACGGGTTAGTGACTATGGGAGAAATATATCGTAGTCCGTGTTGTCTCGCTGATGAATTGATCTTTAGACACATCTGTTCTTGGAGTATGGCAGAATGTTGTCTCATCACTGGAGACTTCGACGCACCACGCATCCACTGGATAGAGCTTACAGCTCCGGGTGAGGGTTCCGATAACAACCTTTTATCGACCATTATTCAGTGTGCACTTGTACAATGCATCGCAAAGGCGAAACAGATTGATCTGAAACACGAGCCAACATTGCCGGACCATCTCCTCACACACCACTGTGAGGATGTCATCGACGTTGAGCACCTTCTCCCACTAGTGAGTAGTGATCACGTTGTACTGTACTTCAAGCTTGGGACTCATGGTATATAATTTGTATCTGCTCCACCCCATCCCAATATCTGGGGGACCAATATTCCGGCAATCAGAGACCGTGCTACGTTGACTGACTGGTCGGTCAACGTGAATGGATCGACCGAAGATGAACGGAATAAGCTTAAGGCTACATTCGAGTCCGTAACATCACTGTTTATCCCATGGTCAACACGTAAGCTATCATATTGCACACCATGGACTAATAAGAAAATCCGAAAGCTGTTTAGGAGTAGGAAACACTTCTGGGACTCATTCTTGTCAACAGGACACGCATCATTTAGGTATGAATATAAAAAACCTTGAATATACGTAAAAAAATGTATAGCTAAATCCTGTACTAACTACGAACGAAAGTTGATATATGATAGTCGTACTTGTCCGAAACTACTGTTTTCGTATGTTAAACGGTGAACAAAACTTAGTGATGGTTTTCCCCCGTTACTGTTACATGAAAATTCAGATTTACTAGCTGACTCAGATATGGCAAAAGAAGAGACTTTTTCAAACTATTTTAGCGAAGTCTGCTCTACGTGTGTTGTTACAAATACTTATCCCAATCACAACGAGATACCAACCATTGGATATGTACATGTGACCGGTAAAACTATTTCACCATTGATAACTAATCTCATACCTTGTAAGATACCGGATCCTGACAGGTTACATCCATGACTGCTATCATCTCTTGCGGACATGTCTTCAAGACCGCTCGCGACGCTATTCAACATATCTTTTTCACTCGCCCAACTCCCTAGAGATTGGAAAGACGCTATAGTAAGTCCTTTATTGAAGGATGATCAGAGACAGGTCGTATCTAACTACCGGCCTGTCAGTCTAGCTAGCACGGTCGTTTAGTTACTTGAAAAGATAATTCATGTTAAGTTACTAAGTCACATAGATTCACCTGATCCGTTAACTCCCGAGCAACATGGGTTTTGCAACAAGCGTTCATACTTGATTGAATTACTTATTATGAGATAGGTTCGGACAGCAGCCCTAGATAACGGTCTGTCTGTCGATGTGATATTCATAGATTTTAGCAAAGTCTTTGAAAAGGTTTCACACTTAGGTCTAATGCAAAAGCTCTTGAGCTGTACAGGAATGGATAGGAAACTTCTTACATGATCGCAGACAGAGTGAGGATCGATAAGCCGATATCCGAATGGAAGCGGTCAGATGTAGTGTACCCCAAGGCCCCATCTTAGTCCCTCTACTTTTCTTTCTCTATGGTAATGAGTTACCTCTGTTGCTTAAGTCATCGAGATTATTGTTTGCGGATGATGTATAAATCTGGAGAACAATGGTAATTGAGGCTGATCATTTTGATCTCCAAGCTGACTCAAATGATTTTGTTAGGTGGGATCGAGGTTGAGGCTAAGAAGTCAATTCTAGGAAAAGTGTGTTCATGCGCATCGGACACGGTAACAGTTACAATTATACAAGTGATGGTTCACCTCTTCCATGCGTTCAAGCACATAAAGACATGGGAGTGATAATAGGTCATGATTTGAAAACAACTACGCATTGCAACGTAGCTGCTATCAAAGGTTCACTTCGCCGAGCATTCAAATGCTTTGACAAGGGAATGTTTAGAATTTTATATCCCACCTATATAAGAACACACTTAGAGTACTGTATCCAAGCAGCTAGCTCATGTCTGGCAAAGGATACTAACTCACTTGAGCGTGTCCAGCGTGTGGGAACAAAATTAATGAAGGGTCTTTCTAAACTCCCTTACGATAAGCGCTTAAAATGCCCATTCCTTTTTCCCTTGTAGGAAAGTAGGACGCGAGGTGATCTTATACCGGCATTTCGTATCTTTAATTATGATTTGCGTGTTAATATGTCTTATCTTCTTGCTCCTTCCAGCACTAATAATCTCCGAGGTTATAGCAACAAGGTTCACAAACCGCGATCTAATAAACTTAAAGTGGGGTCCCGTTTTTCCCGTCGGGTAGTCAGTGACTGGAACGCCTTATCCGAACAAGTGGTATTAGTCACATCAGTGAATATTTTCAAGGAGAAGCGGGATCTTCATTGGAAGGAAATCTGTCAGGATTAACATAGGCTCACCAACTTACTATCTTTAATAGTGAAGACTGAAGATTTCAAACACCCAGATTGGTAGCATTAGATATGACTTGAAGTAGCAACAGTAGCTTACTCAATGAATAATGATTGACCCAGTCTTTAAATCAAGTGAATAATTTACGGATTGCAGAGTATAAATTATAGACATACATAAAACAATAACACATAAAGGTACTCACCGACGAAGTTAAGAAGGCCATTGATACGAGAGTTGTATAGAAGGGTCCTAAATTACTTTACAAGGTTAAAAGCATACATTTAATGAACAGATCTGTTCAGAACAAAATAGACTAGATGAAAGTATGAGGGTATCGCTACACTACTGGTTTGCAAATAGGCGTGAAGAATTCAATGAAATCGGCTATAAGCCAAGCGAATATATTCTCTGTAAATAAGTCTCTTTGTGTGAAAAGCCTTTTTCAATAGCCTTAGTTTCACTGTTTACCATTATTGAACGCCCAGTTGAATGATGTTAATCTTGAAGTTCCTGAATGCTAGTTTGGAGGAATACGAGTCATATGCAAGTAATACGACGTAATCATATACCCAAAAAATTTTACGACACAACTAAAATGTGGATGTTCCTCAGCAAACTGAGCATCTACTAGGGAGTTTGATTACCGATTTGGTCTTTCTGCATAAGGCCAGTGAAAAAGAATTTATCTTTCTCATAGTGTTTAA